GGAAACTGGACTAGTTACAGTGGTTGACACAGAGAGCAGAAAGTGATATGCTGTAAATTTGGTGCTACAATGATGACAATTCATCAGTATTGTTTAGAATCTTGCCCTGAAGAGGCATGAAGTGAGAATTTTTTTGCAGACTTTCCTTTGCCAGCTGTAGCTACCAGATTACTTATATCCTTTAACTAGGATATAAGGAAGGAAACTGGACTAGTTACAGTGGTTGACACAGAGAGCAGAAAGTGATATGCTGTAAATTTGGTGCTACAATGATGACAATTCATCAGTATTGTTTACAGTATTGCTGATGATCAGGAATGGGTGTTACAGGTCTATTTTTTTAAAAGGAACAAATTTTAAGAAAAGTGATATATTTGATCTCTCAGTATGTAGGAGAAAGGATAGAGGAGTGTGTGAGGGGGACCCTAATAAGCCTGAGACTATTCAGCATGGACAGACTAACCATCAGGAAATTGTAAGCCAGTTAGTCTCTGTCTCCACTTTCTTTTTTAAGCACTGAGAAGTTTCCTCAAAACAGAGTTTAACAGGAGGCTGTCTACTGTGCTATCTGTCTAGAGCAGGTTCTACACCAGAATAACCCTGTTGACTCAAACGGGCCATTTTAACAGAGACCCAAATCCGAGCTCACACATTTAAAGAAAAGCCATACAAATGAGAGTTTCTCTATCTGTAAATGCAATCCAGTGCAACTGTGTACTGAGGTGGGCAGTGCTGCTTTCTCCTAGTGTACAACTGCAGGACAGGAAAAAGGTTTATAGAAATGACACTGCTTGAAGTGTGACATAGAGCTATGTCATATGACATAGAGCAGACATGGAGCTCATGGGACACAAGTTCAGTCTGAGTTTCCTTTGTTTTGGAAGAGGCATTGGCATGTAAAAATAATTTTCTAGATGACAAGAGGGCCCTGCTTCTTTGTCTAGTGGAAGACATTAACTAAAGCAAATGGTTACCCATATCCATAAATATGTTTTATTATTTTTAGAGATATATAGATTATATAGATTTGCAGATAAAAAACTTGTAAATAATCCAGCCAGTTTCATGTTTACATGAATACTGATTGATTGCTCCTGCTCCTGAAACTTCAGCTAATGGCTATTAACCTTGCATCAGATGAAAAAGAGAAGAAAAACCAAATAAAATTAGACATGACTTGTGAAAATGTGATTATCTATGATATTTGAAAATCTCATTTGGTCTGAACAGTGTTTTATAAAGCCTTGGGAATATTTCTGAAGGTGTCATCTTTGAATACTGCTTTGACTCTCCAGAAGATCTCCCTGAAATTCCCCATTATTTACTCCCATTCACAGAAAACAAAGTCCTTATTTGTTTATGGTGTCCAGACCCTTTCTAAGAACCTTCTGCCTTATCAGTTTTGGGTTTTGCACTGTCAAAAAATCCATAGTTTCAGGCAGTGAGCACCTTTGAAATCTCCCAGGTCCTGATATAAACATAGAACTTTAACAATCACCGAGCACACTGTTCTGGCTTTGCTGGTTGAAACAAAACCAGGCATTCTGAAACACTAATTTGCTGATGTAGACCCAACTAACATTTCAAGAAAGAGCTGTAAAAATAGTTGGAAAATGTTTTTCATCTGTCTGCAGGAGCAATCACCTACTTTACCCTATGAAGAGGGTCCCATTTGAGTACTACATACTAAGAATGTTTTCATGGTTAATTAAGACAATTAGGCTTACATGAGTGGTCTAGAAGCAGTTGCTGGTAGACGTGTTGAGGAATTATGTTTTGTAGTCTCTGACTGCGTTGCACTTTGCACTTCCAAGTGGATGCCTATCACTCAAACAGCACTGGAATCTACTCAGGGCACTTTGTTACCATTGCCCACCTGCCCTTTTCTTCCCAGACAATTGCCTTTTAAAATGTATCTGGAAAGATCAAAAGCTGTATTACTGTAAAAATCACTGTGAAATTAAAAGGGATAGGAATTGGCCATTTGTGTTGCAGGTTCTTTTCATGTCTCTGCATAGACTTGCCAATTATGTTTCTCTTTTCTCAGCTGGAGATGTTAGCCTGTGCTGCTTTTATCTCAGGATCTCAGCCCAGGTTTCTAAAGTGATTTGTGGTCATTTGAGATCTTCCTTCATTTTTGTCACTTGTTCCTGGGAGGAAGAGTGGCCCTGATAGGAAATGTCTTGCTATTTATAGACTGTCTCAGTGTTATGTCTCCTGCGGTTATATAGAGGAGGCAGCATGCTGTCTATTTACTTTACTTTTAGACCACCCGTCTCTCAGCCTGACTTTCTCACCATGGCCTTGCTTCTGAGAATTTTGATCTGATTACTTTAGATTAGTGGGAATGGGGATACTTTCTATAGGATCCAGAGCATGGAGTGAGGCTGGAGGCTTGATTCACACCCCTATCTTATGTGTTACAGGGGCAGGATGCTGCTAGAACAATTTGTGGCCAGCAGTTGGGAGATGCTCCTGAGTACAGGAGATTGCTATGCTTTCTCTATCTGTCTTCAGTCATCCACCTAAATGTCTCTGCTACCTTTATCACAGTTATATTAGCTCTTATTTTTGGCTTTATTCAGATTTTTACTGCATTATAGGAGAGGATCTGATAAACTGCAAAGCAAAAATGAGCAGTTGGCTCCTTTTTAAATGCTCAGACTGAACTCTATTTGTTGATAGAGTGCATTCAGCTTCAGAAATAAAGTTCTGAAGTACTTAGCTAAAATTCTCTTAACTGCCTTACTTGAATCAATCCTAATTCACTGATAATATCCTAGAGTCTATAATAACAACAATAGAGGTGAAATCCTGACCCTCTTGAAGCCAACAGGGGATCCTTTACCCAAGATTTCCTACTAATTACCTCACTGCGACCCCAGAATCCCCAAAATGGGTTATCCTCTGACATATTCAGTGGAGCAGGAATTACCAAAGGGATTTCTCAGACTGGAGGAACATGTGGGTCAGTATTCCCCTGAAATAGCTAGAGTATGGGCAGTTGCCTAATATTGACTCTGTGTTTGCAGATGTTATAAATTTGTAATGAGAAGGTTTGTTGGGAAATGGTCTTGTCAAACCTAGGCACTAACAAGTCTAATTCCTTCTGGGAGAGAACAATTGGCAGATCATGGATGAAAAATGAAGCCATGTTCTGCCCATCTAGTTATGGTTTACAGTGAAATGAAGTATGGACAAAGCTTCCCCTTTCCTAAACGGGTGATCAGCACCTTTGGCACCATCATGAGCTTGCCAGTGAGCCCAGTGAGAACAGTGTCTTCTCTGAAAGGGATGTAAACTAGTATGTTCAGATTTATCCTCCCCACCTGTAGATTTTTGGACTCAACCCCAAACACCTTATGTTTTTCTCCTTTATGCAAACTGCCAGACTATGAACTGGGTCATCCTGGTCTGAGGCTGCAGGTGTGGTAGCCTCTGGAAAAAGGCAGGGCAGAACATTGTGATGGAACTTGTAAGCTGCCACAACTTGAATCTGACAGAGCGGTAAGGGAGCAAGGCATGTGACTTCAAACAAGGAACCTGATTTAATTCTTGCATTGTTTCCATGTAATCTTATCATCTCCCATAGCTGTGCCCAGGAGAACAGAAAATCACTCTCAGTGGTGGGACCTGACCTTTATGATCTCTGGCTCGTGCTTCTCAAGCTGTGAATTCCCTCTGAATGAATGTACCTCTTAAATTTCTGTTCATGGCAAACCAAAATAAGTGACAGAAACAAATGACTCTAAACAAATGCATATTGTTAGTTATGCAGTGGTGTTCACAGTAAGAAGCAATGCTTAACTGGCACATGCCCAGCAGACAAATTCATCATCATTTGAATTGACTCAAACCGTAGCCTATGCCTCTATGTAAAGGCATCTCATGCTAACTGACACCTATTTAGGGAACAAAATTCAATTATGCAATAAATTCTTACTAAAATAAAGGTAATACCAAAGTTTGTATTCAATATCTAATTAAATATTTTCTTAATGCATTATATCCATTTGTAGTATGTGAAGCCTGACTTTAGTCTTCTGGGAGCAGGCCAGTAAAGAATAGCATTACAAATATTTATTTACTTCTCTTGTCCTTCACTGGCTTTATTTTAATGGGTGTGCAAAAACGCATGAAAGCTACAGGGGAGAAAAAGCCCCCGGGAAAAGCCTTTGTATCAGGATGAATTGGAAAAACAAACTCTAGGGTGCTCATTTGCCATGAATCGCTTTTCACATCATGTGCAGAAAATGAATGAGGCGTCTGTGAATCTAATTCCCTTTGTCCCCCTTGTAAAGCAGATCAGCACAATAGGAGAGGCACAAGGCCAGCAGAGCAAGAGGTGGAAAGTAGGCACCATTGAGTGAATTCATTTTCAGTCAATTCCAGTGTCGCTTGCTCCTTTTCTTCTCTACAGATATAGGGAACAAACAAAACCCTATGGTCCCTGGGAAATGCCTCTGTTAAGGGCTGCTGCTGAAGTCTCCCTAAGCAGGGTGGCAATGGCAGAGAACATGAATCCTTTCCTTTGTCATGCTGGGTTCCTTGTCACTCTAAGTGGGAGGACAGAAAGCACATCACCACAGCCTCATCTCACATTAGGAAACAGCAGATCAGTGCATTGAAGAGCCTATTTTGTCCCGGGGTAAAATAGATAAAGATCTAGGGTCTTCCTCTTTTTTTTTCCCCCACCTAAATTCAAGTTAAAAATAATCTCTTTCATGCTTTACTGAGTTTTTTACATCTGTTTATTATTCTGAATTAAGTTGCATTACTTCCTCTTTAGTATCTTCTATCTAAATGCAGTTAAATTTGTGTGTGTGTGTGAACCAAAACTAGCCATGCTTGATAGACTAAAAATATTCTAGATGCGAAACCCAGTGCTGCCTTGGGAATGTAACCCTTCCATTCATTGCCTGGCTTACAAGCATTTCTCACTGCGTAAGAACAACTTTGTTGAGCAGTTAAAAGGAAAATGGAAATTAAAAAAATCTCACCACAGCTTTTGTAATATATTTCCAAGTTGTCCTCTTTGCAGACAGTGTGCGTAGGCCATTCTGTGCTGGCATTGATATAAAGCAGTACTAAGAAGAGAACAAGAACATTTGATGTCTTCATGGTGGTGGTGGTAGTTTGCAGGATTACTTCTCTGTCTCTTGCCAACACTCTTGAAGCTCCTTCCTATCTCCAAGGGACACAGGAGTTACTACAATCGCGCCTGCGAAAGGGTCAAATAAGCTAGCGCAGCCTTGTCTTGCCACGATGTGGCATAAACAAGAGGCTAATCAGAATTGGAGGGTGCTGTTTCCGTGTGTTTAGACTTCTGCTTTCTACTTCGCGTTAAACTAGTGACAAATGAGCTAATCACACCTACTCACTGCATGGCGTAGCCCTGCCTCAGTGCTTGTTGGAACAATGCAGCAAACTGTTTATTTCTTCTCTTGCTGCCAGATTCTTCTCTTGAAGTCAAAGCATTTGGGTCAAGACTTCAAACAGGCTTATTTTGCAGCCCTTCTGGCTGCAAAAAGTTGCAATCCAAATTGCCTCACCTTAATCACACAAAGTCAGACCAAATTTGGGAAGACGAACAGTTTGGTTTCTATGTTTTTCCTAGTAACAAATCTGTATGCTGGAGGGAAGGGAGGTGTGTCTGATAAAGCTGACACCAAATAAGCAAGTCTTGAAACTTTTGGGAATTAATCTTTTCTGCTTGACTATGCTAAATTTGCGTTCATTCTGTTCAGTGGTTCTTGGGAATATACTACTTAACAGTATACCCGATCAGGTAAACCTAGACTTCTTTTATTTCCTTCTGTCTTCCTGGTTATTTAACTGCCCACTAGTGAAACTGTGCATTTGTTATTTGCACTAGCTCTTTTAAAGCTGTGCTTTGTGCTGAAATTACTGGCTGTTGTACATGGCAGGGAATGATCAGTAAGGAAAGGAGGGAGCATTTCTTCATCTCCAGTAAAATTCTCTGATTCAGTTTAAGATCCAGGGCTGGGATAGAATTTCAAACTGCAGTTGCCAGAAAAGGTCTTTCCTGGACACAGCACCAACTGGAAAAAAAAGCTATAAGCCAAATTCAAGCCTAATGCAAATGTCTGCAATAGTCTTTCTTGAGCTGGAGACCAGGAGAAATTGGCTCCGTAGCATAACAGAGTTGGATAAAAGATCACTTTGGCCATCTTAGTCTTTCTTATCTCTGAGGGCTGCAATCCTTTGCTCTGCCACTGAGTAAAGCTGAAGAGGGGAAAACCTATGTACTTTAGTAAACAGGAGATTACCTAACAAGATAATTATGAAATAATACTAAACAGTAGAGCTGTTCTTCAGGCAAAATCCTGGCCTGAATGAAGGTAATAAAAGTAATCCTACAGATTAAAGAGGGAGCCAAGATTTCAACCACCATGTATTAAATTTAAAAGCCAATTCAGTGCAATCCAAGGGACCTTGCTTTAAATAATGAGGCTCAGGCCTGCTTCATATTTTGGATACTATTGTAATGGTAAATTTATATGTCCAGGGCCAGAGTGAAAATCCAGGCAACTGTCCTTAGGCATGGAACATGTATGAGTCACATAATGAGATCTGAGTTATAGATCTGTCTCGTTTGACTGGACTTTGGTTGTACCTGGCTGATAGTTGGCAAAAGCAAGAGCAATTGCAAAGGGAATAGTAAGGATAGACAATGTCTACGATTACTGTAATACATTTAAGCTAGAATCATGTAAAATAAAAGTCCCCTCACACTAAGGTCTACAAAGACTGAAAATTTGATACAACAATTTATAACAAAAGGCAAAGTACTTCAGATCAGGACTGTGAGAAGATAACCTCCAGGGTTTTTTTTAGGAATGACATCATCATGGTCCTTTACTTAAAATGTCATCTTAGTGCTCAATAACCATGAACAAAGCAAATGAAAAGATAGGGAAAATGCCCCAAAGAGAGACCCACTGGGGATCATTAAATAAACAAAATCAGGATCAGAACCTGTCCTGAGGTGAAAATCATTGGATGCTGCAAAAATACATGGGAGAAATACCATACATGCTTGGCCTGCCCTTAGTCTTTTCTGCATGTCTCCTTGTTCACACTGCTGGGAACAGGTTACTGGGTTAACTGGAGCTTTGGTCTTGACTAGAATGGTTTGCCTGGACAGTGGGCTCATTCTTTACCTCCCTTTCCTCTGCCTGCCCCATCCTGTCTGTCTCAAAGCAGTCTGCTGTCTTTGCAAGAGGTAGCCTCACTGCAGATATCCAGGATTCTGTGCCTTGCCTTGCAGAGATTTCCACCTAAGTAGAAGCAGACAGCCTGGAAATATGGAACAACACTGGACTTGCGGGATAGCAGTCTTCCTGTTTCACTGAATGCAGGAGATGCCTGGGGTAGATCTAGCAGAAACCAAATATGACTTTGTAGCTGAGCTCAGGAGCTCTGATATACACAGGCACTATTTCCCCGTCTGGTACATAGACTGTCTCTTGCTCTTTTAAGACAGTTATTTCATCCTTTTTTTTTGGCAGTGCTCCTGACACTGACTCAAATTGACAAGTCACAAGATTTTTTTTGTGAGCATGAGGTTGGAATGTGTGTCTCAAATAGGTTTTGGGTAGCCAATGTTCTGAGGGGAAACAGCCATGATATAGCTGTCACTTCTACTTTGTCCCACCATGTTGTTCTCAGTGGGAAGGGAATTTTACTTGGAGTGGTTTAAGTTTTACAAAGTGTACTGCAGACACTGTTTCGCCATTTCATTCCCTGTGTAATCCTTGTATCTCCTAGAAAGAGCTTTCTTACCAACTCCATCTGTTCTGAGAACTGCTTTCCCTTCAAACAGCCAAAGCCTGTGGGATGAGAAACTACATCTAAACAGTGGTATCAGTGCTGGCAGTGGGAATTCTGTTTTAGCAGGTTGCTTAGCTGGCCAACAAGCATGTTTCTTTTTCTGCCTGATTGAAGGCTTTGACCATGGAGATAAACAGCTAAAATGTGTCTGTAAAGAAAGTAATTTACCTGGAGGGGCAGTGGCTTCATATATCTAGAGCACTCGACACCTCGTTTGGATGTTTCTGCAGTATTCGAAAGTGAAAAAAAGTCTTGTTCCTTATCAAGAATATTATTATCTCTGTAATATAATTGGGAAGAGTAAAAAAAATCCAAAGCAGACTGGTAAGCAGATAAATCTTACATTAATATCTGTAACTTCTTGGGTTGTCTGATACGAGGTTGCTGATATAACTGCTGATATAAGCAAATACCCCCCTGCCTGCTCCAAGCTCAAAGTAGCTGTTTTTGTGCTCACATAGCATCCTTGCCCTTGAATTGTTTTAATTACTCTCTGGGTTCCCTGCAGAGGTTTAGCTAGTCATGAGGCTTGGTGCTCCAGAGGGGCCTCTTGCTTGCATTCATACAGCTGCACCTACACTGTGACTTTTGCCAAAATAGATATGGGTTTGTTGTTTTTGCAATGCTCTTAGCCAAGTAGTTGTGTTTGCAAAACTTTTTCAAACATAGACCTGAATAGTGCTTCCCCTCAGCAATGGGGTTTCCTCTTAAGAGTTTGTTTTACGTAAAGATTTTTTCCTCTTTTTGTGTAAGTCCAGTATAAGGTGAGTCCTACCCAAAGTTAAAGTTCTTTCTTTTAAATCAAGATCTTTTTTTCTTGCCTTTGGCATCTTTGTGTATGCCTGTATAGTACAATGAAATGTTTCCAGAGGGAAAGCTTCACATTAAAAGCTTCACTGATTTATCTTCCTTTATTTTGAAGTCCACTCTGAACAAAAGCTTTCTGCTTCATATTTCTCAGTGTGGATCTCCTGCTAGACAAAAACAGTGAGTAAAAATTTCTCAGCAAACAGATGAGACTTTTCAGAGGTGATACCTTTGCTCTCCATAAAAGTTAACTTTTCCTGCTATGCTGGTAATAGTGTTATTTAATATTTTAGTTAAAAAAGAACAAGGCCTAGAAATGCAATGCAGGCTAATGTGCCATCCCCCACTCCATTTCCAGCTGCTTCTAAAAGGAGATGAGTTTTGTTTTCTGAGACTTCCACAGTGCTGGGAGTGTTTGAGGTACTATGCTCCCAGCAGCACATCTGGCGGTGGTCATGCACCCTGTAAGCCCAGCAGGAGCAGAGACCAGCAGAGGCTTGGGCCCCCAAGGCTGCTTCTTTCCATGGGATGGGAAAGTTTCTGGGATCCACCAGCCCGGTTGGCTGTCACCAGAGCACCTGGGGCAGTCACTCAGCTCCTCCAACCACCCCTTATCTGTGCAAGTACTCCAGGACCAAACCAAGAGCTGGAGCCAAGACTGCTGCAAAGTGACAAAATTTGATGCAAGCAGGACTTGCAGATAGGGCTGCTGCTTAGTGGTTTCCCTAAACACTTTAAAGCTGAGCTTTGCTGAGCCCTGGCATGCTCCCAGCACAAGCCCTTAGTGGTTGCCGGGGTTGGACTACTGTTCAGGAGTATCTGCTCCTTGTGGAGCGCTGGTGCTGTTTGTATTATGCAACATGATCCTATGTGGTTTTATACAGGTCAGGTTTTAATTTCTCTTTGACTCCTTAAATAGTAGCAGACTATGTTAGCTACCTTGTTAATTTTAATTGCTCATGTTAAAATTAAAGCTTTCAGAAAAAGCTCTAAATTATTTAATAAGTAATTGGTATAGAGAAAAGGAAAGAACTTTTTCCTCTTTATCATTTATATTAACTATTCAGAAAACTAAGGTTGTGTGTTGTTGCAACTTTTCAGGATTCCATCTGGTGTCTACAGCCTGTGAGACAGACTAGTTTCCTGGTTCATCTGCTACCAAGTGCAAAGGTGTACATTTGCACCAGCATACACACCTTAGGCCATGCACCTGTAACAGATGTGTGTGCATGTGAAGCCTTGCCCTCTCATTGTAAACTAGCCTTTCCTGGAGTATACTGGTGGACAATTGTGGAGAAAGGGTGAAATTAAGCTGCTGTCGTGAAGCAATCATGTTCCTTGGTTTCAGAGAAGGGCCACAAAAATGATCTCCTCTCCTAAGGCTGAGAGAGTTGGGGTTGCTCAGCCTGGAAAAGAGAAGGCTCTGGGGACACCATATTGCAGCCTTTTGACACTTAAAG